CAACCAGAGACTGACACAGGGGCTTGGGTGTGTGTGTCTGGAAGTGAGAAGATGCTGCAGGACAGGAAGGGTTTACATCTGTTTGTTGTTCACAGGGCTGCTGTGAGTCGTATCAACCTAAACGCTGAGTTAAATAAGAGCCCCCAACAAGAACAACAACATAGTTGAAAAACTGTAAACATTTCTAAAGGGTAATAAAGTCAACCTGAACAAACAAACAAACAAACAAACAAATCATATTCTTCAGTGAGCACAGTCTTTGTTCTAAAGATTATCAATCAATCATCCTTAAAATCAGCTGGAAATTTAAATTCTTTTACACAAAATGCTATAACGTTTTGTTGGGTTTTTTTTGTTTGTTTTTTGTAGGATGTTCATTTCTTTGTTGTTTTCTTTCTTTTAAGGCAGACCAATTTAAAACATAAAGGGTAAAATAAATACCAAAATACAGGGGCAGGAGACCAATGCCGAGGGGAATTTGGTTCTTTCAGAAATAAAACACGTCACAAGGCCTCTGTAATTGAGGTGAGAAGGAGTGCAGTAATGTAGCTAACATCACATTTAAAAGACAAAGCCCAAGAATTTCTCCCTTAAGATCATGAACAAGATAAGGACACCCACTCTCATCTTCCTTTTCAAAATCATTCTGCTGACTAAGCCAGAACTATTAGGTAAGAGAAAAGTAAATAAAAAACATCCAGTACAGAAAGGAGGAGTAAAAACTACCTCTTTTATAAATGATATCACTCTATATTGTATAAGAAGTGATATGACATTGGGGTAGCTGAGTCTGACTTCTACCCACTTCATAAGGGAGAACTGTCCCCATCACTAATATTCATAGTACCAAAATAGCTACGACGTCAGACATGCCACCTCCCATGCTCCTGCGCCTTTTTGTACACATCACCCAGTCCACTGTTGGTTCCAAGACTCAGAGACTTTACTCACAGTTGTGAAGTTTACTAGGAAAATAGGCTGAAGTGTGGGGGAGGCCAAGAATATCTCACAATGCAAGCGTAGGTTTAGCCTAGTAGTCCCAAGCCAGATTAATAAAGCACAATTCCTCAATTAGTCAAGGTCCAGGCTCAGTGCAATAGCACAAATATAGGAAGCCTCTGGTTTCCTCAATCATACAGCAAAGTTTATCTCAGAGCCCTTAGAAGTCAGCTTTTCCTTCAATCATACAGCAAGCAAAACCTTTAACTGTGGCCTTTATCTTTAGGGATCCTCTGGTTACACTTTGCCACCATCTCTCCACTACCGGCACCATCTTTTTTCACGATGTGGAAAGTGCTCTCTTATAATGACCCCACAGCTACTGATGATTTATTTGCAAGATCATATGTCTGCAGTTAAGGTAGTCGGAGACTGTTTGTTGTTAAGTGCTGTTGAGTCGTAGACGACTCATAGTGACCCTATCAACAAAAGACCTGAACACCTGTATAACTTTAATAAATTTCTCCAAGTTTATAGAGTTTCTGAAGGCAAGCTATTTTGGAAATGGATGCCACTGCTGCTTCCAAGCTTGTTTTAATCTCAACAGTACTTAACAACAACATAGAGAGCTCTCTTGGCCTAGTGGATAGAAAGTTATGCTACCAAGCCAGATTTTAATCTGCGGCCCTCAGGCCTGGTTTTAATTGTTTTGGGTCAAACATTCTACTAAGTGGTACAGCACAGGCCTGTCCATTTGCTGTACAGAGGTAACTCGTGGTTGCTATGATGCTAAACACTGTGACACTGATGTGTCAAATATGTTGATGGTTACCCATGGTAGACAGTATTTGGTGAGATCCCTGATTAAAAACAAGCTTGGAAGCTGGATTTGGAGACTAGTGGGGGCTAATGCAATGGCTACAAAAGCCAAATTTCAAAATTCTAACACCACATATACATATAACATTTCAAAGATACAATAAGACAGGCAACAGAATTCAGTGAAAAGATGAAGGTCAAACTCAACACACAGAAATAAGAAGGGATTCTATAAACTAGCTGAAAAGGAAAGTAAGGTAAATTACCATTTAAAATGGAATCCAAAAAAGAGTAAATTAACCAGGTACAAAAAACTGCAAAGTAATAACACTAAGAAACTAGGGAAGACTAGAATAAAGAGAAGGATATTTGAGGTTCATGGACTGGAAAGATCAATATAGTAAAGATGTCAATACCTATTCTAAAGCAATGTATACATTCAATGCAATCACCATCACAATTTCAACAGCTTCCTTTGTAACTGTGAAAATCAATTCTCCAATTTATACAGAAGCGTTATTGTTGTTGATTGCTGTCGAACTGAGCACAACTCATGGTGACCCTAAGAACAAAAGGCCTGAAGCCTTTCTGTAACTACTAACATTTATCAAAGTTCATAGAGTTTCCAGAGGTATGTTGTTTGGGAAGTGGTAAAAGAGTAAGGAACCTCTAATATTAATCTCTCTCCCCCCACACTCTGCATTTTTTCTTTATTTTAAATTTTAATAATTTTTAAAATAATTTTAGTGAACATTTACAGAGATTTTGAATTTCCATTCATTCATTGCTGTGCTTCTCTTCCTGCCCAGCCCTCCCCCTTTCCCCCCAGTTCGCTCCTCTCTTTGAAAAGTAAGAGAAACACTCCCTCCCTGGTACACAATCCCCCCACGCCCCTCCCACCGCCCCAAGTACGTTCCACTATGCAACCTTAATTGTGGACTCCTGTAATAACCATAATACTCTATCATATATCGTTTTTAAATTATTCACTCCGTCATCTGTTTCAGTGCAGTATACATTATTTGTCCAGTTTTTCTCAGTCTTACCCCAACCCTTATATCAGTCCCATTTTACAGCAGTGGCACCATGCAATATTTGTCCTTTTGTGACTGAGATATTTCACTCAGCATTATGTCCTCCAGGCTCACCCATTTTGAATAATATTGCATGAATTCCTTGTTTTTCAATGCAGCATAGTATTCCATTGTGTGAATATACCACAGCTTCTCAATCCATTCGTTTGTTGATGGGCACCTGGGTTGTTTCCAACTCCTTGCTATTATGAACAAAGCCGCGATATATATGGGTATGCATATATCTGCTTGGATGTCAGTTATGGTCTCTTTGGGATATATTCCCAGTAGTGGAATTGCTGGGTCAAAGGGTATCTCTGGTTGCAACTTAAAGTAATCTTAAAGAAGAAAGCAGGATGATTCATTTCTACATGCTGACTCTGAAGCATAACACAGACAGCTAACTTAGTGTGAAGGAGCTGTGATTCCAACTCCAATGTGTGTGGTTTGAATCCATCAGCTGTTCTCCAGGAGAAAGTAATTTCTTTCCTTGCAATTTACTGCCTCTGAAAATGCATGGGTGTGTCAGCTGTAAGTCAGTTTCAATTCCACAAAACAACAACAACAACATATATAAGCTATAGTGACTGAAACTCTATAAAATAATATATAGACCAATGGGATAAAATTCTGAGTCCAGAAAGAAATCCAAGCATCTCTGGTTAAGTGTTTTCTGACAACATTTCTTGTCCACTCAAGTGCACTCAAAGGGGAAAGAAGAGACTCTGCAATAAATGGTGCAGGGAAAATGTCCATATGAAGAAGAATGTAACAGGATCCGTGCCTCATGTCACACATAAAAACCAATTCAAACGCAAAAATCTATAAGCGTGAAAACTAAAGCCATAAAACTCTCTGAATATAGAGGTGTGGCTGCAAGAAAGTAGAACTTAACATTGAACTATCAGATATGATAAGAAAAACATAAGCAGTAAACACGTGAAAAGGATTATGGTAATACAATGCTATGCTGTTAAAACTAATACTGCTTCAAAGTAATCTAGTAAAATAAAAAATATCATGAAATAATTTCTATATCAACTTGATCATTACATAAAACCTAAACATTACCAATTATATGAGTTTCCTTATAATAAAGTATAAAAGTCTTATATTTGCAGGCGCTGGCTGAAAATCGCCTGTGACTTCATCCATAGCCACTGGTGAGAGTCAGTGCCCAGAGCCATCACGGGCTTTAAGCTCGTTGCCCACTGCTGTGGTGTGGACAGCTGAAACCCAGGCCCCGACAGGCACCTGGGTGGGGTGGGGGTGGGGGGGGAACCCAGACTACTTCGTGCTCT